TTGAGAAAGCCCTTGTTTTTAAAGAGAGAGGGGAGAGAGAGAGAGAGAGAGAGAGAGAGAGAGAGAGAGAGAGAGAGAGAGAGAGAGAGAGAGCTGGGTTTGAAGGATTGAGGAGAGGGGATAATGTTATTTTGGGGAGTTTAGCTTAACTGGCATGTAATAATTGGTAAAAAGGGGCTGCAGCACAAAATGTCACACTTCAAGGGGCTGAACCACATGGATGAAACTAGGAGGGACTGCAGCACATGATGTTTCTGTTTTTGGGGTCTGGACACATTTTTCTCTAGAATTTTTTTTAAATTTAAAACTATAACTCAACCCATCAATATTCGAATATTTGTGATGTGCATCGATGTTATTTTATTGTACAATAATATTTTTAATCTGTTTTTTAAAATTTTATATAATTTGAATGTGAATTGTTTTGTAATCTTTTTTAAATCTCTTACTGACCAAAAAATTTTTTTTGACCTTATATTTCCTATTAATAGTTATAATTTTATTTTTAATTTTTTTTTCTTTAATGAAATGCTATTGTCTCAAACTATCCTACTTGTTTCCTATAAGAAAATTTAGAAAAATTTCTGAATATAAATTAATTTTCTTATATAGGTGAATGAAATTAACAAACAAGTGAGGATTGCAATTGAATTTCATATGGAAATTTTGTGATCGAAAACCATATGGCACGTTGTGTCAATGATGTTTGATTGGTGTCCCTAGCTAACGTTGGTGGGTGAAAAGAACTTTCAACTTAAATATTTTCTAATAGGGGTTTTTAGATAGTAGTCCCTTATTTCAAACCTATTTTTTTATTAGTTCCTCAAATCTTTATATTTTAATATCGAGTTGTTGATATTTTCCTATGGTTGATGTTAAAAATGCAACGGAATATTTCGTTAACTTCAGCATTATTGAGTAATGGACAGTTATCATAACAAACTCAAACCCAAACCTACACCCGAACCGTTGAAATCCAATCTCATACTCTTCTCCACAAACGGTGAAGTTTTTCTGGGAAGCCACAAAAGAGCAACGACTCTTTCATTTGAGGTCTCTTTAAGATAGGAATTCAAATCCAGGTGATGTGCTCATTATCAGGCTATCGGAGGAAAATATTATAGAAGCAATTGTGGTTTATAGTATTGAACGGAAATTCAAAACCCTGTTATGGTTAGTGACCGCCATGTGACATGTTGCCAAATTATGTTATAAGAGGAGAAACAAAGAAGCTTTGGAGTCCTAAAGTAGTAGTTGATGTAGAACACACGAAAAATTTGTTTATATCAAAGTGGGACAGCCGTAAGCTCAAACGCGAGCCCGGACTAGAAAAATAACTTGCTACGAAGAAACGGCAATAACTTTCAAACCGTACATCGGGATTGGACGAATTATATATGAAAATCGACTATCTCGACGAGACGGAGCCAACCAAATCCATTCTAAGGGTTCGGTTGGCTTCCTTCGTTTCACCAAATTCCTTACGATTTGAGAGATATCTGTATTTTTGTCCGGTTTTTACTATTTTTAGTAATGTTCTAGGAGTCTGTATTGATTAGGAAACAAATCCGATTTGATCTCAGATTTGACCAGTGGACTTTCCTAGTCATAATGAGTCTTTTTAAGAGTTTTAATATTTTAGGAATTCTTTTACTATTTTTGGTAAAGTTTGAGTCATTGTAGGAGTTGAAGTCCTTGTAGAAGTCTTGTTTCTTTTTCTATTAAGTAGAGTCTTACCCCTAGAGGCATAACTTTTAATTAATAAAATTTTATTTTCTTTAATATTTACTTCGTGGATTTGAAGATTGTCCTTGGTGGATTCCGAGGCTACTACTTCCGCGCTGCGTCAATTGGTATCAGAGCATTGTCCCTCCGATCCATTGGAAGGTAAAGAAGCCCCTATTACTCGAACTGAGTTTGACGTGCTAAAGGCTTATGTTAATCAGATGAAGACTGTCATGGAGTGACTTATGGTGGCAGTAGAGCGTCTGAACATGATGAGAGTTCAAAATCACGTTGATGGTCGCCAACGACGTGATCCGACTCCATATGATGAATCCGACAGCGAGGAAGATAACTATGTAGCCCATGCCACGTTGTTTATCAAAGAGACCGTCGATAAAGGGAAAATTATAACGCTGGAGGTTTCAAGATGAAGATGGATCTGCCATCTTTCAATGGACAAGTTCATATCGAAGAATTCCTTGACTGGATTGCAGAAGTAGAGAGATCCTTTGAGTATATGGAGATCCCAGAAGAGCATAAGGTAAAATTGGTAGTCTACCGACTCAAAGCTGGAGCTTCAGCTTGGTGGGAATCTATTTGTCTGAATCGATCTCGTCAAGGAAAGCCGAAGGTTGATAGATGGGAAAAGATGAAGAAACTACTAAGAGCCTGTTTCTTGCCAAGTGATTATGAACAAGTTTTATTTGGACAATACCAGAATTATAAGCAAGGTGGAAGAGCTGTGGATGAGTATACGCAGGAGTTCTATTGACTGTCATCCCGTAACAACTTAAACGAGAGCGAGGCCCAACAGAAGTCCCGATATACAGGGGGATTGAGGATGATGATTCAGGATCATGTATCTTTACAGTAGACCTATACCTTAGCAGACACGGTTAGTCTAGCCGAGAAGGTGGAGCGACAATTCGGACGAAATAGTAAAGGATCATGGGCAGGTTCAGACAGGTCACGCACGAGCTTTAATCGTGGTGGGAATAAGCAGTCTCAGACTATTTCTGATCAAGATGCTACAACAAAGAAGGCAAAGGGTCCACCGACAACAACAACAAATAAGACTACACCACCGAACCCATATGCCAAGTGTGACCCGATCAAGTGCTATAGATGTGGACAGCCTGGTCATCGATCCAATCAGTGTCCTAAAAGAGGTGTTGTGAATATGGTGGATCACGAAGACGAGGACGTAGACCAAGACGATGTTGAAGATTATGATGGTGTATTGGATCCTGATGATGATGGGGAACAACTCTCATGTGTTGTGTGGTAACAATTATTGGTCCCAAAGACAGAAGAACCACCACAGAGGCATAACATCTTCCGCACGAGATGCACAATGAAACAGAAGATCTGTGTGTTGACCCTATAGTTTTGATGATGAATTGACAAACAATTTATTACTAATAAGTCTTCTAGTGTTTTGTGTTTATGTTCTCTTTTCAGGTATTTCAACACGCGTCAATAAAGTGTTAAAGATTCAAGTTTAACTACGTGGATTTACCTGGGTATTTGTTTAGTTTACTTATATATATTGTATGATGATATCTAAGCTCAATATACATACACTTAACACGATTTTTTGACGTTTTCTATCATATAGATGATTTTTCATTAAATGTTGTTAAAATATCTTTATCTCTTGTTTACAACTCTCTCATACTTTATTATATACATATAATATATGCACAATATATATATGAATATTTTTATAAGTCCTATATCAACTTTCACTTTCATAAAAATACAGGTTTTCTAAGCATTTTTCAAAAACAGGTAGTTTTCACAAACGAAATTTGTTTTTCCAAAAATTTCTTTTCAAACATGTTCATTCCATCATTTATAAACTTTCTCTAAAGTTTCACTATTTTTGGATATGAATTGATATTTTTAACGAATTTCCAAAACTGCCCAAAACCTGTCAATTTACCCATATCAGTTTTCGGTCGACCGATACGGTCGACCGACGGTAGTCTGTTTTCTGAGAATTTCTTTAAGTATTTTCCGGTCGACCGGAATTTCCGTCGGTCGACCGAAATATCCATTCGGTCGACCGAAATTTACGTCGGTCGACCGCCAGCCTTAAAACATGTTTTTCTCAGGGCTTTGAACTAATCGGTCGACCGTACCGGTCGACCGACGAGTTGTCAAAATGAGCCTAACGGCTAGTTTTTCAAATGGACTTTTTGGTCTTTTACCTTTTTCTAGCTGTTGTATTGGGGTGCTATATATACCCCATTGCTGCTCTTCTTCTCCAACAAGCAAGAAATCCAAGTTTATTGTTTAGCAAGATATTAATCGCGTTTAAGAGCTGTTTAAGAGTTGTTTCGTTAATCTGTTTTCAAGAGAAAGTTTTCTACAACAAGAAGAGGCTCTCATATTCCATTGGGATCATATTCTTCAGCTCCTCTTGTTCATTGAGAAGTTTTTCTAAACTCTTTTCATATAGCTTATTATTTAACTTTCATTTGATTAGCTATATTCATTAAGTTATTTACTGAGTTTGATTCACTATTATCACACACACTTATTGAGCTTGATATTTCCATATTATATATTGTGGGTTGTGGGGTGTGATTTAGTGAGTATGAGCTTCATTGTGTTCTCACTTGTTATTTGAGAACAAAATCACTGTATTTAACTTTTATTTGTGAGAATCACTTGTAATACACTTGTACACCGAGAGAAGTATGAGGAGAGAGAGACGGGGTCAAATCCAATAGGAGTGGCATCGATTGACGAACCTAGGGAGAGGTTGTAATCGAGCACTTGAGGAGGAGGACACGGGCTAGGTTCCTACACTTAGTGTGTAAAGTGTGTTTGTTGAGTGATTGTGTAGTGTGAGAGTTTTCGGTGAACTTGTAAACCGAGTGTGTAGAAGTTCCAGCTTCCAAACCGGATTGTGATAGTGGATATCTCCTCGAGGTGAGGAGCGGGGACGTTGGTCGTGGGGACCGAACCTCGTGAACATATTGTGTGTTTGTGTTTTGTTTGGCGTACATATTATTCATCTTTATTGCTCATATTCATATCACATTCATTCTTGCTAGAACAAATTGATCAACATAATTTTAATTGGTATTAATTGGGATTAGATTAGCATAAGACCCTAATCCCCCCCCCCCCCTCTAGGGTCTAACACTGTGATGTCATCATTGATAGTGGGAGCAGTGAAAATATTATCTCTCGGCGCATGGTGGAGAAATTAGGTTTGAAGATGGAGAAGCACCCCGCTCCTTACAAGATCTTTTTCCATTGGCATGCAGGTTGATGAGATATGTCAGGTATCTTTTTCCATTGGCCGAACTTATATCGATGAGGTATTGTATGATGCAGTTAAGATGGACGCATGTCATATATTGTTAGGTGGACCATGGCAGTTTGATATTGATATCACGCATAGAGGGAAGAATAACGTTTATATCTTTAAGAAGAATGGTTGTCAAATTGTACTCAAACCTCTAACCGAGAAGGGGCCAACCAAAACAATTATTGCTGACAAGAAGTCTTTCTTAGTCATTGACAATGAAGATTTTATAAAAGATGTGAAGCAATCCGACGAGGTTTATACTCTTGTTGTATCGGGAAAAGAGGATTCTGCCTCTGCCAAAATTCCACCTGAAGTACATACCCTCTTACAACAATTTGATGCAGTTATGCCTGACGATCTTCCTTCTGAATTACCAATGCTTTGAGACGTTCAACATCAGATCGACCTCATTCCGGGATCTCGGCTACCAAATTTGCCACACTATCGGATGAGCCCAAAGGAAGGAGCAATTTTGTAGAAGTAGGTGGATGACCTCGTCAAGAAAGGCCTTGTACGACCTAGCATGAGTCTGTGTGCCGTGCTAGCATTACTAGTCCCGAAGAAGAACAGAGAGTGACACATGTGTGTTGACAATAAGGCTATCAATAAGATCACCGTGAAGTATCGATTTCCTATCCCACGGCTGGAAGAAATGTTAGATATGTTGTCTGGATCAAAAGTGTTCTCTAAGATAGATCTCAAGAGTGGATATCATCAGATTCAGATTAGAAAATGAGATGAGTGGAAGACTGCTTTCAAGACAAAAGAAGGCATGTATGAATAGTTAGTCATGCCTTTAGGCCTTTCTAATTCTCCTAGCACTTTCATGCGTTTGATGAATCGGGTATTAAAATCCTTTATCGGCAAGTTCGTTGTAGTTTACTTCGATGATATCCTGATTTATAGCCAGAGCGAGACTGCACATCTGGACCACTTGAGGAAGGTACTAACAGTTTTACAAGAGAACAAGTTGTACATTAATCTGAAGAAGTGTAACTTCATGACTAGTAGCCTTGTATTCCTAGGCTTTATCGTTAGTGCAGAGGGCATCCATGTTGATGAAGAGAAGGTGCGTGCTATTCGAGATTGGCCTACACCAAAGACTGTTAGTGAAGTTCGTAGTTTTCATAGCCTAGCAATGTTCTATAGGAGATTTGTCAGAAATTTTAGTAGTATTGTAGCTCCTATTATTGAATGCATGAAGAAAGGCAAGTAATAATTAGGGAGTAGAAGCGGATCGTAGCTTTATACTGATCAAGGAGAAGTTATCCAGTGCACCGGTGCTTGCACTTCCAAACTTTCAAAATGTGTTTAAAGTTGATTGTGATGCGTCCATTATAGGAATTAGTGGTGTGCTATCTCAAGAAGGACGTCCAGTTGCTTTCTACAACGATAAACTCAGTGAAGCTCGGCAGAAGTGGAACACATATGAGCTAGAGTTATATGTCAAAGTTTAGTCTTTGAAGCATTGGGAGCACTATTTGATCTTGCGGAAGTTTCTGCTTAATACTGACTATCAGGCTTTGAAGTCCCTTAATAGTCAGACTACCATCAATCGCATGCATGCTCGTTGGATCGCATATCTGTAGCTTTTTACCTTTGTTTTGAAGCATAAATCCGGGCAGCAGAATAAAGTTATAAATGCACTCAGTCGGAGAGCTATTTTATTGGTGACTTTGCAAGCAGAAGTGATTGGATTTGAGTACCTAAAGGAGCTATATGCAGAGGATGAAGACTTTAAGGAGATTTAGGATGACTGCCAACAGAATAAATCAGTCAAAGGCTTTCATATTCAGGATGGTTATTTATTTCATGACGATCAGTTGTGCATACCCCAGAGTTCACTAAGAGAGCAGATAATTCGAGACCTTCATGCATGCGGGCTAGGAGGACACTTGGGGCGAGACAAGATGATTGCTTCTATTGAGGAGTAATATTACTGGACTCAGCTGAAGAAGAGAGCGGAAAATATGTGCGGCGTTGTCTAGTTTGTCAAGTTGCTAAGGGACAGTCTCAGAATACGGGATTGTATACACTTTTACCTGTTCCTGATGCGCCATGACATGATATCTATATGGACTTTATGTTGGGACTACCTAGATGTTTGTGTCAAAAGTTGCCTTTTCCATTGTTTTCAAACCTGTTACACCGTTTATCGATTACAAGTTCAAAACTGAAAAGAGAGTTGATCTTTTTATAAGATCTTCTTACAACGAAAAATAAAGATTACAACTTTATCAAACAAAACGCAGCAGTAGTTTATCTCCCGCTGCTTTGCGTGGGATCTTTGCCTGTGCCGGGGATACGTTAGTCCGTGGACCACCGCAGACCAAAGCCGATCGACAATATAATGACGCTCTTGTTTCACGAGGGAAACAATTACGGAAGCGACAATCACGACCAAGTCAGATTGTGGCTCTTCTCGAGATTAAAACCAAGTTTAATCCGGAGGAAAGAAGGGAAAAGAATCACAAACCTTTCGAAGGGGGCTTTCTTTATGAAAGTGTTCGCCAAGCTCTGATGATTCTCCTCTGAAATTCATGGTTTACTGGTCAATTTGACAGCACCTCGCCTTCTTAATCTCAGATCTCCGATCCCCTTCAAAGAAGACCTTAGGCTTCTATTTATAGGCTTTTTGAGATGTGTCTCCTAGTAGGAATTGATGTTTAAACGTTATCTGCGGTTTATAACTGTCTAAACGTGTTTATGGATAACCTCAGAGCAGTTGGAGAGGTTTTGGGACGAAAGAATCCTTAAAAATCATCGAAATCCGTGTTTGGGGAGGTTTTGTATCCAACAAGAGTCCTGGTGACTCGGAAATGTGCGAGTCAGCTTCTGGTGACTCGGAACTGTGCGAGTCAGCTCTTGGTGACTTGGAACTGTGCGAGTCACCATTTGGTGACTCGGCACTGTTCAAGCTTCGTTATTCTTCCAGCTTCCTTGTTTTGCGTACGCTTCGTCGCCTTGCTGATTTTGGATGAATTCCTTTGACTTGGATAATAACGTTTATCGTCTTTTCCTTGTCTTGAACTGTGTTTAATGCCTTATAGGCAATTTTTAACCCCTACAATATCGTCTTTGTCTCATTATTTAGTTTGTCCACTATATTGTTTTTATTTATTTGTTTTATCCTTGTGTTATTTGTATATCCTTACATATATATCTTGTTACATATCATACTTGCTAGGATATTTATTAATTAGTTTTAATTGGTATTAAATCGGATTAGATTAGCATAAACCCTATTCACCCCCTCCTCTAGGGTATCTTTCAATTAGTATCAGAGCTTGGTGCTCTTGATTAGAGGTTTAACCACCTAGAGTCAAAGATTAAAGCATTCATATCTATCTAATCTAGTTTTGAGATTTATTGTATCTTGCTTGCATACATATAGATATTATGGACATGCTGTAGGCGTCTAAAAATGCCTATAGGTGTCCGTACACAGCTTGAGACAGAGAGAAGACGACGAACATCGTTATCCGAGTCTAAGAGGATTATCTGACACCGACAAGCGCCTGAAGCAAAACGGCGAATCAAGTGACCTGCGCGCTCGACAGTCAGCTCGCGCGCGCCAATCAGCTCGCATGCGTCAATCAACACGCGCGCGTCAATCAGTTCATGCGCGTCGATCAACACGCGCGTGACAATCAGTTCGTGCACGTCGATCAACACACGTGCGTCAATCAACACGCGCGTATATCAACCAACGTGCGTTCCAACACGCGCACGTTAATCAGCTTGCACGCGTCAATCAACATGCGTGCGTCAATCAACACGTGTGTGTCAATCAACACGCGTTCGACGGTCAATTCCGCAACGAAGCGTACAAGTCAACAAGATGATCAATTACGCAAAACGGCTGTTGTTAACTGAAGATAGAGCCAAATCACTTGTTCTCATCCAAATAACCGCTTCTGAAGCCCTATAAATACAAGCCTAGGGCCTCCTTTCAGCGGGGCG